TTGGACCACGGCCAATCGGCTCGGGTTGGCGAGTCCTGAGGCACAAGCCCTGAGAGGCCCCAAGAAGTTATAACCTTTTCTTTGAACAGGTTCTCTACCCCCCCTCTCCTGCTACTCTACTAGTTCCCGTAGACAACATCTACGGGGGCATCTTTTTAGATTTAAGTTCGTGGCCCATTACCCACCCACCAAGAACCATGCAACGCACTTTTGTGTTGGGTGGAAGGCTATAGGGAGCAGAGGGCCAGAGGGAATCATTGTACCAAGTCAGCAACAGAGCTACCAGGGCGAAAGTAGACGGCACAATTCTCTCTATGTGACTAGAGGCCGTGAGTCAACCAGAATGGGTCGTAATTGCGCCATCTACTTTCCTCCAACTGTAGAAGTTGACCCTTTTTTAGGTTCCGAACCGGCCCGGTACCCACAAGAAACCAGCCAAGAAACCAAGCAACCATCTTTCGGCTTGGGAGAAACCGACAGGATGTGGAGGCCAGGGCTTGAGTCGGCTAACACAAGGGGCTCGATTTGATTGCCCAAAGTTTACTCCTATAATAACTAGTTGTTGTTTTGAAGTACTACCCCCCTCCATTCGAATGATTTAGCCGCTCATATAGCGGTGATGTTCTGTAGTGAACCCCTCAAGTGGTTGGTGGAGAATATTTCAATCCTTGAATCGCTTCATCCCAGCTGGCACCTCAGTATATATATATATATATCCCAAACAATGGTTTTCCTTATCCCAATATTTAAAGCCTAGGTGGAGCGCTCCCACGTGTTCGCCTGAATGACCCTCCTGACTAACACGGACGGCGCAGAATTTGGTAGAAAGACTTCTTTTCTCTTGGAAAGGGATTTGTGCACTTCCATTTTGGTGGGAGGGTAAATGACCACTAGGAAACACCGCGAAAGACAGCTTTCCACATGGCTAGGAGAATTGATCAACTTCCATTTTCTGGGAAGCAAGGAGCATCTCAAGCCTATCCCACAAAAATTCCGACGGGAAGTGGCAGCGGTCGTTTGGTTTCAAGGAGCTGCCTGCTCCGCATGCGGCTGCGGCACCTGTGGCGCTCCCAGCCGCAGAACCTCCGGGAGCTGCTCATGGAGACCTGAGCGAGCGCCGGGATTTTCCACGCGTCCGATGGGCCCAAAGACCCACGCCAACGAAGCAGAACGATATATGGCTGTGCGTCAAAAATGGGCTCACCCCAAAATGGCTTGCCCTGGCAAACGAGAAACATGGACTAAAACCTGCGGTCCCCTGGTGGTGTTATTTTGACCCATCCCCATATTGAACACCAACGCTCAGCGGCCAACCACGAGGTTTCCTAGAAAAATATCGGAACCTGAAAACTAGGTTTGGCCTCTCAACAAACATGGATGCTGACAGGAGGGTTTGGGAAGACTTGTCTTTTCGAGCAGGCCCTGTGAATTCAGAAGAACAATATTGACCAACAACCTAGCTAACAAGACTTTCTGGAAAACTTTGATTCCAGCAAGGGTGATTGGGCAGCTGTTCCTTTTTGGGGTCCTCCGTTGAATACTTGCACCAAGCAAATACTTTTGGTTTCTGCCAGAAAACGCGGAAGGCGGAGCCCGACGGCAAGACATGTTTTGTCGGTTCTGGGCGAAGGTGAGGTTTCCTGCAAGGTGTAGGAATATGTCGTGAGACTTTTTTTTAAATCCTGAATAATCCACAAAGCGTTTGTGAGAGATAGATACATGCCAGGTTGAACTTTGGGTGGAAAGGGAAATTTCATTTTGCTCCCATGTCCTTCCATGTTTTGGAAGTGCTGGGGGAAGCCTCCCGTAGACGATACATATTCTTACGTCCCAATAGGACTCGGTAGCCTTTGGCTTCGATGTTACTGCCCAAGCGTCGGCCCAGTTTTGGCTCCGCAGTTACAGGCCTCGCAAGATGGATCCAAGTCTGAGTCAAGCTTTAGGACACACCCAAGCGGCGTGCAGCGTGCATGATTTGTCACTGCTGGCGAAGCCCTGCTTTCTCCGCGGGTTACTATAGGACAGGACTTGACTTTGCTACCCTTGTATGAGATTAGGACAGCTTGATTAGTCAATCTTTGCAGTGCGAGGTTCAGACTTGGGTAACAGCCGCGGCTATGAAGGGAATCAACAACGCGTTAAAGTCAACTGCGGTGCGTTCAGAGTGAACTTGCGCGGTGTGATTGGCCGTGGAGGAATGATTGCTTATGAGCATAGTTGCCATTGCCATCATTGGTATTACAACGGTATGACCGTTATCATGAATTATTGTTCAGCATTATGATGCGTATCATCTCTATTGTCATCACCACATATCCCCTGAAAGCATGTATCATCAGTATCGTCGTCGTCAGGTTGTCGTCGTACTCAAACCATCACCACAATCACCAGCACCATCACCATCACAAGCACCCTCACAATCATCAGCAGCATCATCGTCGTCATGAGGTTTGCTGCGAAGGGGAATACCGCGCCTCCCCTCAGTTTCCAATTGCAGGAAGGAAACTAATCTCAGCCGGTGGTGGCGTTGATGTGACAGAGAGAGCAAAGCCTGTGACTGCTCGGGGACTGCGCAAGTAGTTCGTATTCGAGGAAGTGCCCGGTGTTGGCGCTTGCCTTTCTTTGTGTCTTTCACTGAACAACATATCTATCGAGTGTCGGAGTCGCAATGGAGCAAATTGGCTTGCCCACAAGCCCTCACTAGGCACTCAAGATTGCTGTCGGCGAATCACATGTTTGTTTAACAGTTCTGCAATGACACCTGCAGCAAGCCATCCTGCGGGGTGTGCATTCGTGATGGCTTCCTTGGAATCCTTTCTTCATGTTGTTCGGGTTCCTTCGGACTCATCCACCAAATTTTACGCAAGGAATCGGTACTGCACGGGATCTGGAAAAGGGGTTTGCGACCTGAAGATAGCCGCCCCCTTTCATACTCAGTCCTCACTGGCTTCGAAGTATTACACTTGGCCTGTAAAAGCGAGACATAGCAAGACCAATCAGCCAATCAGGTTCTTTATGGTAGCAATGTCCACTGAGTTTGCTGTGCGCTTTACCTTTTGAGTACCGGACAATATATTGCCATCGGTTTTTTTGGCCCTATCGGTTGTCGGTGGTAGTAGTGTTGCTTACTCATTTGGGTGTGAGTCACAATTATACTACCAGGTTTTATGTCTCCATTTACCGGGGTTGCATGTCGGGTGCCTTCACTGCTCCTGGCATGTTGGTTCTGGTCAATCTTTTGTGGGCTGCAAAAGACAAAGTTGTTTGCTACAATGCCTCCGGGCTGTAAAGAGCACAGTTTTTGACCCACACAATTGTTTGACCTTTGACGGTCACGGGTGAAAACGCAGAGCTGGCTGCGCCAAGCCGAGCACATCCTCGAGAGGCACAGCGAGTGCACAGATGTAGACCTTCGCACCTGTTGACTTGGCGGAAAACAACTGGCTGTCCAACAAACGTGGCTCAGTGCGCGGGACCCAAGGACGGGAAAGGTCTGAGAACGCCGGCTTGCTGATTGAGCGGTTCTCTTTTTTTTAGCAAATGAGCAGGACATGGATGGCCGTTTATCACACAATGAGCAAATCGGAGGTCATGATATAGGTTTCTTCACCAACCAGTCTAAGGCCCGTGATGGCTTCAACATTTCTGGCCCATGGCAGGCACTTGGAGTATTGCACCCCATGGTGAGAACAAGCCCATACAATGCGGAGCAGGCATCCTACCTCCTGTTTTGGCTAGTAGGGTATGCAAGCTTGTTGTTACGGACGTATCATAGCTGCTTTTCCAGGTTTCGCGGGTTGCATCACAGACGGAGGCAAAGTCTGGTGCCGCGACTTATGGGTTTCCCATGACTACTCCAGTGCCAGCAAGCTTGATCTTCACGGGTTTCTCTAAATTGGGAACCAATATTCCCCAGGAAGGTGGTTTCCTTTTAGTTTCCTTTAGTTAAAACCATCCGAGAAGGGGCCCCTTATTTTGAGACACACCAAATGCAGTTGGCGAGCTTCAAGCTTCTTTTGGGCAGTTCTTGTTGATCAGTAAAGGTCCACACATTTCGCGCGGCCGTCACAACACGCCAACTCAGCGGGTCAACTGCAAAGTTCTGCTCGGACCGTGCCAAATCGAGCGCTTGAGTTCAGAAAGAAAGCTGTGACTCGAGTCGATCAATGGCTGGTCCAGGTAGATGGACAATTTCCGCGCAATTCTCGCGCGCAAAGCCTTGCAGGCAGCTTGCAAATGAGGTGCAGGGAACCTGCACTGACCATCATAGGTGTCCTTTTTGGTTGTTTTGGTTGAAGAATAGATGGCCCTGGTTCACCTGGTGGTTTACTCATCTACCAGGGCCATCTATTTCCCCAAAAAGGACACCTATGCTGACCATCCGTTTTCCAAAGCCTTGGCCAGAAATCGGCTTCAGTTCAAGCGGGCGGGAGTCGTGAGTCGTGAGCGCGGGGCAATCCGCAAGCATCAGATGGACACTGTGCGATTCCACTGCAAGGGTGCGGAATGTTGGGTCAGGCCCCATGATGTTGATTGTTTCTATGAGTTAGTGAGAGCGAGTTTGGCAAATTAGCGAGGCCAGAAATTAGGTGTTCCCTGAAGTTGAAACGGGACATGTCTCAGATGATGCAACTTTTTAGACACGTTGTAAGGCTTCCCCTGAAAGCAGCCCGGCAGCCCCGTCGGGTTTTGGTTTTGGGGGGACCGGTGTTCCTTGTGTTTTTTTCTTTAGAATCCCCAGGGGAGACCCTCACAAAAAGACGGCCCCATGTGTAAAATCTACTGCAGTGAGGATGACTTTGGGTACACTCACCCGACTCCCAGGTCAAAGGGGCACACCATGAACATGTATATGCATAGAACTATTTGGGGCGGGGGGAGGGCAAGCCCCTGATGTGTATATACATTATATAATGTCCGTTGCTGGGATGTAGTTGTTTCTCTCCCCGTCGCTTCTCGTGTCGAACCAACGCTTGGTTCGAGGGAGTGCTGCACTTGAGGCGGACTCCAATTCCGTGGGGTGGTGGATACAGGCAGCCCCTTCCTCTTGGCTTGAGCCTCGGACATGCCGCGGGTCGAGCGGATCCGGTGGGCAGCTGGGGTTTTGTTCACAACCCCACAGCCTTGTACTGGGGTTATTATTTTGACGGTTTCTGGGGGCGGTTCCAGGTCAGAACATGGGACGGTGTCCCTTAAACCCACCACTTTGGGGGTGAGTTTTTGATCATGGCAACATCATGAGGCCAGTTGCAGGCGATTTCTCCCCTACTCGAACTGCACAACTCCTGCGATTTCACGGTGTGATTTCCGCGCAAGCACGTACAAGCACACAGTATTTGTGCTTGATATTCTTGTGTACAACAGCAGCGCTATCCCCTTGTTGCATCTCGCATGCTTCGAAGGCCGCTTCCCATGGACAAAGCCACATTAGGACGGAATCAAGCACCATCTAGGTCAGACACGTTACCCTGAGCCTGATGTTGTTCATGAGAATACATCTGCCTTTGCTTTTGGACATGGGATCAGGAAAAATATGCCATGGTCTTCGAGAAGACCAAACAAAGCAACAAAAAAACACAGAAAGTTCACACCCATTCAAATCCAGGATCATGGACATGGGTTTGAGCTTCTCTCCACCAAAGGCCGCTCTTCAAAGCTCGATTAAAATTTGAATAGGGATTAACTTGGACTACTGGAAAATATACATTGCATGTATGATAATCCTACTTGTCTTTATATCTTAAATTTGGAATCCATATGTAATTCCTTTCGTAGTACAACTTTACACTTCAATTCTGGTTTATACACAATTTGATCTGGAACTAATCCAATTGTAATGTGCATTCTAAACATTGAACTATAATTATTCCATGTTATATTACTCCTGGTGGTATGCATGAGGGTGGGTGAGTCCCATAGTATGATCGGAGAGACCGTCACTGTGAGTGTTTGTTTTCTTGAATGGAACTCAGAGTTGAACTCGGATTGAACAAGTTGTGTTGACACTACATGTGAACCGATTGTGTAAAGAAGTTATATTGGCGAGTAAACTCTTGCCCAGGATCTGGCGGAAACAACATGGGTGCAGTGGGGTGGTTTGAAAGTCAAAGGGAAGCCACAAATCTCTGGGCCCCCTTGCACTCAGACACAACTACATGTTGGTAGGTGGACTGTTGGAGTACGGTGCATTGCAAGGCACGCACATCCGCAGGGAATGATACAGCCATGTGTTGGGTGGAGCTTCCTAGCAGAGTTGGGCAAGCCCATGTTCACACTGCTTCAAAGGACTCGTGTTGTCAGCAACCTGGATCGGTGCCCCTGTGCCAGAGCTGTACTTGTTCAAACGCATTTTGAAGTCTTTCAAGTTGCCGCAGACCTGGACGGGTACAAGCTGGAGCACCTTCGAACTACCCCTCCCTGATCACCCTTGGTCGGACGGCCATGCCTCAGCGGAACCATGTGGCTGTTTTCAGGCTCTCAGAGCAGGCCCTTCAAGTCCGTGCACGGCCTTTTGCCGCGGCAAGCGCCGTGCGCGGGTTTGTCTTTGAAATTGAGTGGGACTGGTGCAATGAGCACATGGCGACCAGCAAGAGTACGGGAAGCGTCGCTGACAAAAACGGAAGAAGCAACCGAAGAGTTTCAAGAGAAAGCTCTCGGCAGAGCAGCTGCGGGGGAAACAAATCCAACCACGACATCAAATCGGGCCACGTTCCTTGCCGATCGAGCCATATGACATGGGCGCCGGCTATTGCTTCCTCTTCGCCCTGGTGGTTGGTGCCGCTTGGCCCAATTCATAGAGAGGGTGGTCCAGGTCCTTCCTTAGAGTCCTTCTGCAGGTCTCCTCAGAACATGATTATATTGTGAGGTTGACTAAATATGAACCAGAATCTGAGTGTTCCCCAGCGTTGGCCAAATAGTGGGTTGCTGGAACATTGGTTCTTACCTGGGGGATGATTTCCGTTCAAGGGTGAGGGCTGCTCCATTCCGAACTCGGGGGTTTGAGATGCCTTGTCACCTGAAACAAACCGTGGGCGCAAAACGCGTCCCAAAAAGGAAAACCGCTTCTTTGGTTGGGGTCCAAAGTTGAGGATGGCGCCCTGTCTTGGGACAAGGACTCGCGGAAGGTCCACACCGGAAACTGGCGCCCAAACCTCAACTCCATCCCAAGCGCAGCAGGGAGTAAAAATCAGACGTGCCCTTTGTTGCTGGTTGAGTTCAAAGGACAAACCATGGGAAGAGGAAAGAAGGGCCCACCGAACTGAGATTCTGTCCAAGGCTCACGACCAGAGGTGTCCTTTTTGGTTGTTTTGCTCGAAAAAATGATGGCGATTCCTGGTTCTGGTGGTTTAAGCATCTACCAGGGCCATCTATTGCCAACCTCAAAGGACGCCTATGCTCACGACGCTAAGTCAGCAGATGGCACCGGTTCAGCCAACTGGAGGGCCTGGGCTTGCCTGAACGAGTCGCGCAGGACACGGATCTCAATAGCTGCCTCTCTCTGTTTTTTTTGGGGGGATACCCCTTGCTGGCTGGCTTAGAAGGGAAAACAATGGGAAACCGCCTTTTTTTGTGGGGTGGGTGGGGGGTCCCTAAGAGGGAGACACCCATAAGTTTTCTTCGTGGTGTTCAACATTGTTAGCATCCTTTTTTTCGACTTCTTCAAATAGTTTTTTTTTTTCCCGGGCGTGTTTTTGTTTTCCTTTGTTTTTTTCTTTTTTTTTTTTTTTTTTTCGGGAAATGGGTATGGGCCCATTTTTCAATCAATAGGCTATGGACCGCAGGATTTCGTCCATGGCTTGCCCATTTGCCAGGTCGCTTGCCATGTTGGGGTTTCCCTATTTTTGACCAGCCAAATGTAGGGAACCATATGCATCATGACCATCTCCGCCCCGCCAGGTCTGGGCCCCACGGAAAAAGACCTGCCAGGTGGTCCACAACCGCAAGTCAGGATGTCTGTTTTGAGGGACCAGCAAAACGCCCAAGGCTAAGGATGCCCTCAAAAGGGTACCTAGGATGCCAAACCTTGCATCTTTTTCATTGATGATATCCAACTCTTTATTTTTGAGGGCGCTTTACACAACAGCACCAAATTGCACATGTTGAGGGCTCTCCTTCTAGTTCTGTGCATGGCGTTTCCCTTCCCGCCAAAGGGGGGGGTTTGGGGTTTGCATTCACCAGCGAGGCCGTTGATGTACAACTCCGAGACTTGGCAGAGATGAGCTGTGGGCTTGGAATTGGAGCTCTGTGACCCTGTTGGAAGCGACATGGGTGGACTGTGGAATTTGACATTTTGACCTCTGTTCATTCCCCTTTTTGGCCCAGGTTCAGAAAAGGTTCCAGAAAGTGAAGACATTTGTTCCTGGGTCCCCAAGGGGCAACTGAGGGAAACTATCCCCAGCAATCGGAGAACTGCTCAAACTACTAACTTAAGGGACCCCATTGGGACGGGGTAGTGGAGGTCGGAACCCCACACGATTTTTCGCGCGGAGGGTGAGAAACCCCACCAAAGTCATGGAGAATATCGGCGGATGGCAGTTGGTTGGGTGGACAATTCAATTCCACAGGCAAAAAGTTGTGTGACCTCTTGTTGGACCAATGGAAAGCAGGGCAAGCCATGCAATGATTGCCCTGGCATTTTGTGCGTAGTTTGGATTCAAGGCCCGGCAGTTTGTCCAAGGGTGAAAGGTGAAACCGCATGACAGGGGCGCAGCTTTCCAGTTTGGGGAGCTTCGGACTGACCGAGTTACTCACCCAATGATTCTTGCTCACGATCTTTGCACTGAGCAAGAAGGGAAACCATATGAAACCATAGATGTAAAACCCCGAGGTGGAAATGTCAATCTAAGCCAACACAGTCCCTCAAAGCACTGGGTCAAGTGACGTTTTCAGGCGACAAGGCAGAGATTGGGCATCGGAAGTTGGTGCGTGTGCCTTGGCCGCAGATGGGAACAGGTGAGCGACTGGACAGTCTCGGAACACAAGCACGTCAATAGATCCGGTGTTTCCAGTTACCCTTATTATTCCATTTGCTTAAGTTTTTTTTGTTTTTTTAGTTTTAAAGGGAATCTATCACTACTGGAAATGTGTGTTTTTGTTCCAGGCACTTTTTCGCAAATGGTATAGCAGGTAACTAGGGGAAACCATCCAGCTCCAAAAAACAAGAAGTACAAATACCATGGTAGCTTGAATGGCTTCGGTATTCCCTATAGTACTGTTTCAGTGAGCCCAATCAGCCGGTTGGGAGTTCGGGGGGGGGGGGGGGTTCTGCCTATTGCGGACGCCTCAGGCCCGAAGGCGAAGCAGGCGTCAACTGCCAGTGCTGCCGGCGCCGGTCGTCGCTGCAACCACCGCCGCGCCCCTCGTCGTGGCCGTAGCTCCGGTTGCTGCAGCGCCGGCTGTGACGGTTGCGCCGCTGGCCACAACTGTTGCGGCAGAAGAGGATGTGCAGGTGCAGCTTGGGCCAACAAAACAGTTTATTAGCCTGGGTGCGAAGTTGCCCGCACTTATTATTCGATTATTTGCGCCGCAGAGGAAAGCCACAGGGGATGGATATGTTGTGTTTTATCCAGATGCCCCCGCCCCCCAACTGCCTATGTCACATACAAAGTATGACGGTGTGCACTAGGGTTGGTTGAATCGCGGAGTCTGTGGCCTTCCGTGCTTGGAGTTCATTATTGAATGCAAGTTGTAGTTTCTGTTGTCAAACATGATGTTGAACCCCCTGTGCAGGCAAAGAGGCGGCCGATTGTGCGGAAGCATGCCAAAGAGGATGTCAGTGAGGAGGACGGCGAGAAGGAGGAAAAAGAGGATGAACAGGATGGGAAGGATGAGAACAATGAGAAGAGTGATAGCCATGAGAAGAATGAGAAAGCGCAGCCGCAGGCTGGGGCACAGGCGAACATGTTCTTCGGACAGCTCCTTCAGAGTGCACGAAGATTTGATCGGAGTGCTCGAGCTTTTCTTTGACCATGCGCTAGTTTTAAGTTGTATGGCATACTTCGGGTGTGTCCATGATTGTTGCTGACACCACCATACGGCTCCCTTTTTGTT